TTGCTATTATATTAGGCGTCTATCTACATAGAAATAACGTATACTGTAAAAACCCCAGATTTTCTGTTAATAGCAGTTTTTTAAGTACTCACTCAGTCGTTAAATCGATTGATTTTATTTAAATATTGTCGGAATATTTAGGTTAACAAGTTTTAAACAGAACAACGCATTGCTACAAAACACGAAACACTAGTGACGCGCCTAACTAAGAAAAGATACACTTGTTTCCACACCCTGTTTGCTGCGAGTTATTAGGAAACAAATAGGATTTCAGCTTTAAAATCAATGGAACACTTGAACATGTAGGATTTTGCTGTAAAATACCAACGATTATAATATGCTGTTAAATGTTCAAATTCACTGTTTACTTTTAGATCAGAAGTGTTTATAATACCATTTGAACAAGAAAAAAACTACCAACTTGTTTCTATATAGCTACAACACTTAATTTTTGACGTTTTTATTCACTGTTACAACACTCCTTGTTACAAAACTAGGAATACCATTCTATACTCACTGTTGTAATACTCCTTATTACTGAACACCAAATATCTTTTGGCTTCCACATGTCCTCCAACTAAATCTGTTATGGCTGATGGGAAGCCAAGTTCTTTCAGAAATCTCTCGCCTACTACGTCATGACTTTGAGCTCCGAGACATGTCTCATTTGTCACCATAGGATCTAAATCTTCATCCATTCCCACAAGGAGGCCTATATCATGAAACAAGGCTCCCAGCACTACCTATGAAACAATGTCAAGAAAACTTGCTAAATATATATTAATTTTTCATGTTAAATAATGACTTGTATTTATTGGTAATAAAATTTACTACATTGATAAAATTTACTACATTATTTTTTACTTCTGTTTGCAATTCTTTTCTATCTCATTTAGTTAAAAGTAATTATGTCTGGGGTTTTCTGTATTTGCTGCAGCATGTGTACTATCGTTACATAGAAACGAGTCCGTAGTTTGAGGGATAAAGTGTTGTTATATACAAACAAGTTGGTACTTTGAGGGATAAAGTGTCGCTATATACAAATAAGTTGGTACTTTGAGGGATCAAGTGTTGTGGCTATATACAAATAAACGGGTACTTTGAGGGATCAAGTGTTGTGGTTATACACAAACAAGTTGGTACTTTGAGGGATAAAGTGTTGTGGCTATATACAAACAAATTGGTACTTTGAAGGATCAAGTGTTATAGCTATATAGAAACAAGTTGATACTCTGAAGGATCAAGTGTTGTAGCTATATACAAACAAGTCGGTACTTTGAGGGATTAAGTGTTGTAGCTATATAGAAACGTGTTGGTACTTTGAGGGAATAAATAGATGGATATAGTCCTGTCACTGCTCTAAGTCAGTGCAATTGGGAAGATATGTAACTTATTTAATGTAAATATTTTACAACTCAAAACAAAAACAACATCTATATTGCTACATCTCCACTGTTATAATTTTTTGTTTCTGGTACACTGAGATTAAAGCTACAAGCTTATCTTTCCATTCTGTTTACTCACTGCTTGTTACAGAAGTAAGACAAACGCTACTAGATTTGCCTCAGTAAATAAAATTAAATCAAAATTTTTAACATTGTTCTTTTGGTACTTTTAAATAATTAACTGAGTTTAGTAACACAAGTCTTAAATCTCAGAGGTTAAAATATGTTAAATAACAACAGTTTTGGAGCTTCACCACATCATTACAGCCCATTTTGTTATGCCTGGTCATACTCTATATGACTGTTTATCCTGACAAAAGCCCTGCAGTGCCGTTTCCACTGGAAAAGCTCAGACTAAGGATGTCATGTCTAAGACAAACCTTCCTCCCTTTTTTCTTTCCATAATCTCTCTAGTTTATGAGAATAACAGTTTTCCAGCATCTTTTTCAATGATTTAATTACATAGAAATCTATAGATGCAGCAACAAGCAATTTGACTAGTACGAATGCCTTCATATTGAATAACATGAATACCCATTTCATTGTCCAGGTGCTTGAGGTATGGGATGGTTGAATGGGAGGTATGGCTGGAGGCCTTAATCTTGGTGAACCTATATCCTATTGGCTTAGTTTCCAGATGGAAATACTTCTTGATTGTGTTGTGGACTGTTTTATGGGACATGTGGATGGCTTTAGCCACTGACATTTGTGTTTCATCATCACATATAATGCCCCCATGGCTGAAAGGGCAAGCACATTTTAGTGGAATGGGGATTTGAACCCATGACCCTCACACTGCGAGTCAAAACCTCTAAACCACCTAGCCATACCAAGCCCTTCAGAATGGAAATGACTATCCGACGTCCAAAAATATGTATCATCAGTACATTTTATTTTGGTAGGTAGCATCAATGTTCAAAGATAATTTGCAGATAAAAAAAATGTATGTAAACATTTATTTTTTAACATAGCTTATGTAAACTTATAAAACTTTTGTTTTAATAAAATAACATTTTAATTTCACTATACTTTTTAAGAATCATACAAAATCTGCATGTTCATATAACAACCTAAAACTGTGCCTAATTAATCAAATTAAATTTGTTCTGAAAGTTGAGTGCATGAATGATTCAAGATGTTTTTTCAGAACTTTCAGATTCCAGTAAGCTAACTTTAGTACATCAAGGAGGAGCTATGACCCCTGAAGAAGCTGAAGCATTTTTGAAGAGTCCAAGTTTTGATACCATCCTACTGATTCGAAGCTGGGACGACCAATCAAAGGAATCCAAGATCCAAGTTAAACCTTTAGATCATTACAAGAAAACATCAGTTCATCCATTTCTCATAAAATTCATGCTCTTGTCAAAATGTGTAAGATTATTAACACTACTAAGCTCACCACTCAATAACAAGTTAGTTTTCATTGTGTAATTGTGGTCAGAAGTTTTCCATCATCTTGTTTGAGTCCACGGGTCCTAGTTCCAATCAATATATTCATGATAGTTGTACTAATGTATTTTATTAGAACACTTATACAATTTATTAAAGATAATTTGCATTAATGCATAATGTAAATGATCAAGCTTCAACATATTCTGTTTCTCATAACTAAATATTTATATGTTATTTCCCAAGTTTTCCAGATATTCTAAACAAACAGAATAAAGGCTGTTCTTACAACTTTCAGTAGTTATGAAATGCTGCAAACTTAATTTGCATCACATCCAAGATTATTATTTTGAACCTTTTCAGCAAGTGAACTTCATTGTTACTACTATTTGGCTTAATACTTTCAAGGATTTTGACCATGGGACTTGAAGAGAAGATCAGTCATTTTCAATTCATCACATCTCAACACATCGTGATCAGTTTGTCAAGTCTAAAGTAGCATTTAAAAAAATTTCTTTTATTTATAACCAAAATAGTTGTAACACGTTAAAATATTAAAATACTACTTAACATTGTTAAGAGAAGGTTGTATTGATTTCTTCCATACATCTGTAACTATATGTCCACTGATAAAAGACTGTCTCAGAATATCAGTGTTTTATTAACTGAACAGAAATATGCCCAGAATGTTTTTATAAGAACAACCTTTATTCTGTTTCCACTAAATTGTTTCGTGGGAATACATGAGTTAATGAACTGCTATGTTGAAGAAATGGGATTATCAGGTACAACGTACAACGAATTACTTTTCAAAATATAAAGAGTTATATTTGAAATATAACAGTAACTGAACCAGTCATAAAGTAGCTGAAATTCAGTTGATGGATAAATATAGTGGGGAATCTTTATTTGTTTAAAGAGGGTTTTTATTTCTTACTAAAAGTTTCTGAACTGCAATTCTTACTTCTACAAGTAGACTAATTTGGAAATCTGAGCAAGAAACAATTTTATGTGAGAAACTTGCATGGATAAAGTGATGATTAAGTATAAATCCCTGAACTGTAATTGCTACTTTCATATAGCCAATACACAGTAGAATGAAGAGGCTTTAGCAGTTCTACAAGAAGTTCAGGATAAGAACAACTTAGAGTTGAGTGACTTTAACATACCAGCTTTAGCTAGATTGAAGACTAACCTTCTTAAGGAAGGATTGGAGGTTCCTTTCGAAGTGCCAGAGCAACAAGTAAGCTTTTAAATACTAACATCCATGATTAGTTTACTGTAATGAAACGTTTAATCCACAACAGTTATTTATATTGCTTAGACATTGTTTCTCTTGTTCTGTATGAAGAAAACAAATATCTCATGTTCATTCTCATTCTTATTTTGTCTACCATTTAGACTATGTTAGTTAAAAGAGCTTTTAGTTAGTTTTATACCTTGTATTTCACAGGGTAGATCCCAAGAAGATAGCTCCAGTGACAGCTCTGATGATGAGCAAAGATGAAGCATATTGTGTTAGTTTTACTGGAATAATAGATTTATGTGGAGTCAGTTGTGTAGTAGGTAAACTTGTGAAGATGTAATTTGTATTTCTTGTCATATAGTCATTTAATTTTTTTGTATTCAACATTATGTTAAAACAGGTAAGTAAAGCATTTATTTGATACTGCAGGTTAGTTGTCAGATGGCATAATTCAGATATACTTACCTAACACATCAATCAAACAACTACAAGCAACACCTTTTGTCCGTGTTGATACATCACACTCCAATATAAGATCCATAAGTCTTCTTGCCATTGTTTCCTGATAAACAATGATAGATGAAATGTAACATGTCATGTTACACACACACATATACAATATATAATATAACGTTTAACTTGTTTCCTACTTACATTATTATCTTCTCTTGCTTTGTGCAGGATGCTGCCAAACAGAATTCTTTCTTTCAGTGCAGGGCAAGACTGGAAAGAAAAGAACAACTATGAATAAGAAAGAACATCTAATAACATTAGACTACCCAAAACATGTATCTACACTTCTAAACTCTCAAATTACTAATGTTTTATACTATTCATTAGAATATTACATTATATTCAGCAATTTTTATGTTTTTGCTTTTTCAAAGTTACAACAGTAACTACACCCAGTACAAAAAATAACTGACTAAAACACAATGGGTAATATCGTTAATTTTCTGTGTAAGAAACATGGGACACCAGCAGTAATTAGTGGAATTAACTGAAATACTGATGACATTTTGTTTAAATTTTCTGTGTGATTCATATGTCATTAAGGAACCTGTAACCAACAAAGTCGTGAATGACCAATGCAACTTGGTGCATAGAAAGTTCAGAAAAATGTTTAAAAACCATATAGGGTAAACATGAAGCAAGTCTGTATAATAGGCTAATAACTTCTCCCTCAGATGTTTGTTCATGCAGACTAGACAAACTGCTCACAAAATATTCCAATTGTAATCAGAATACACAATGAAGAAGTCTAACTTATAATAAATACAAATAACTGACATTGAATAAAATAACTAGGCACACTATTTATTAAGTTTCTCTACTCTTACAGATGGACAATCTTACCAAAGTTTTTACTGGGTTCCTTTACTCTTCTACATATTCTAAACTTTTTGGCCGATGTATTACTTTTATCAAAGTTTTTATTGTGTTTCTATGCTACTCTACATATGCTTCATGTTTTTGAGTAATGTTTTACAGTTTTTGCCAGGTCTCTACTTCACTAGATCTGTGATGCTTCTTTCACCAAGTTTGAACAATGAGAAATAAATCACAAAAAAAATATTGTGTAGAATAGCTGTATGATATATTTTGAAACAAAAGGTTTGGAACTATATGTCTCCCCTGATCCACCTTGATAAGATCCTCAGGATACCGTGGATTTCATGAGAGAATGGTATTCAAGGAAAGGGTCTTAAACTACATAAATATATTACTCTTGTGGAATTAATACCAGACACAGTATCAACTTGAGAAAAATGTATTGGAGAATAATATCTTGTGACCTTACAAAGGCAATTTCTATGTTAATAGATTTATTCACAAATCACATTGGTCAAAAGTTTATTTGTAAATTTCAAAAACAAGGCCTATTCTTCGACACAGTACATGCAATTTCATGCTTTGTATTAATCAAGATATTATCAATAACAAACTTCTATAATGTTCAAATATGCAGACAATGTCCAGTGTTCCCACACTTTTTAATAGGAAAAATTAAAGACCTTTTCAAGACTCAAAAAATAAATGAGCAACAAGAAAAACAGTCTTACACTTTTCTTCGAGATATGTTTGATGCAACAATAAAAACAATTTTAAAACAAAATATACAGTAACTATGCTGAAATGTTAAACACCTAGCAGTTCCTGGAGGGCTCTATCCAACTGTTCACTGGTCTTTTTTATCTCTCCATCCTTTTGCTTAGAGCCTCCCCTCTAGATGATTCAGCTTTTTCATAATAGTTGTCACCATCTTTCATAATGTCCTATATTTCATTTGTTTTTTTTTCTTAATACAGTCTATGTCATCCATAATTTTCTTTTCATCAGCTTTTTATACTTCTTATCTCTACTTAAGAGCATTCTGATACTTCTGTCTTGCTCCATTTCAAGCTAAAAGAAGTTCATTTGTTATGTAAATATTTTTTTGTCCAACTGTATTGACGTAGTCTTTCACAACCTGGAGGGGTATTAAATGTTCAAGAGACAGGTTCTGTATCAATATGTTTTTATTAACTCTTTCAACCCGGGCTTGGTACCCGGGACTGACCTTGTAACCATTTTGTGCTTGTTATAGTTTTCATGCTATAACTTTTTAAATTATAAGCAAATGTTACTGAAATTTGGCAGTTTATCAGTAAACATTACAATGCTTTCATATGCAAAATATCTAATTTTTATATTAAGTTTTAAGGTTTATAAAGCAATATTTCTCTCATGCCTTTTTTTCTATTCACATCTTGCCTATCTATCATGTAAAGTAAT